AAAAAAAAAAAAAAAAAAAAAGGGACCAGTAGAGGGGGTGATAAATGTTCCAACAGGGCTGGATCTTCTAGCAAGAAGGAACTCCTTTATCTTAGTACAAAGGAGCCTAGTCCTTTTAATGTAACCTGTGGAAATGGAATAAAGATGTGTGAGCACTGCACAAAGATACCCAGATAGGGCACAACTAGAGGTCCTGGCACAAGCCTGCATCTCCTAGAAGGAAGGAACTTGTTCCTTAGAAACCATGAGCCCATGGTGCCGGTGCCAGTGCCAGTGGGTCTGGTGCCTTTTTCTTTTTTTGAAACGGAGTTTCCCTTTTGTTGCCCAGGCTGGAGTGCTGTGGTGCAATCTCGGCTCGCTGCAACCTCTGCCTCCTGGGTTCAAGCAATTCTCCTGCTCAGCCTCCCGAGTAGTTGGGATTACAGGCATGCACCACCACACCTGGCTAATTTTTTTGGATTTTTAGTAGAGATGGGGTTTCTTCGTGTCGGTCAGGCTGGTCTCAAACTCCTGACCTTAGATGATCCTCCAGCCTCAGCCTCCCAAAGTGCTGGGATTACAGACATGAGTCACCGTGCCTAGCCCCAGTGCCTTTTTCTAATTTCCTTTTTGTAACTCAACCTCCCAGAGCAAGCTTTCTCCATTTTGCCTAAAGTCATGCTGATCTGGCCACAGCTCTGCAGCTACCCTACTCTTTTTAGGGCATTTACACTTGCAGTGACATTTAAAACTTGAATATCCCCGTAAAGCATTACAATTTAGATAATAGCATGGACTCTTTCTGCAGATCCGTGGCCATGCTAACAGAGTGCATGAGGAACAAGATACTGGCCAAATTCTTCAGGGAACGTCAGGAAACTCTGAAACACTCGCTGCCTCTGGGGTCCTATCTCTTGAAACCAGTTCAGCGGATTCTCAAGTATCATCTCCTTCTGCATGTAAGTTTCTGCCTGGCGTGAGCACTTTCCAGGGGATGGGAGTTTTGTGTGTATATATTAAGTTTGGGGGAAAATACCAGAAAATGCTGCGGACATATGGAAGCATTTCCCACACTCATATTTCACAACTGACTAATCTGCTTTGAGGATTTAGAGATATTTATATTCTAGACCCGAAGCCCCATTGACAACAGCCAAGAGAAGAGATTAATCTTAGCTCTGATTCTGATGGGGCTTAGGAGTGCCTCACCCTAGGCACTGACAGTTTCAGGCAGGGAGCTATCACGCAAATGAAAAACAGATTTTGTAATGTTTCCATCAGCCCTGATTCAGTAGGCAATTGAAAGGAAAAGCTATTTGTCATAGATTGGCTTTTGTGTGGAGAGCAAAGAGAAAGGGCTGAAAAGGGAGAGGACAGACGAGCAGCATGATAAGTGGCCTCAGAGCTGAGCTTAGCATCACTGCAGGTATTTCCTCTTACATTATTTTCTACTGCTTTTACAAAATTCAAGAAGGCTTTAGAAACAAAGGTAATCATAGCTCTTAAATCCTTTTTT